ATGTACAATAAAAGGAAGATTTCATACAGTAACAATGTGTTTTCATTCATGTCTTTGCACGTCTCTGTTTGAGTTCAGATTTGAGTGTACTTTTTAAAATGTTCCTCATTTTGGTTTTTTCTATGTCTTTGCTCACAGGTAAGAGTCACAGGATTGTATTTGTTGTTAAACAAAACAAAAATCAGATTCAGGGCAAGTTAGATTTTAAGACATTAAGATAAAGACTGTTTGAATTTTATTTAAGAACAATTCTTAAATGCAATTTTACCGTTATCCTGATCTGCATTACAATGCTAAATCAGATAAACTAATTATCATCCTAATCCCATGTTTTAGCATAATAAGACTTTTAAATCATTGATTAAACACTTTATAATAACAATTAAGGCCTTATTTCAGATTAATAAAAGAAAGGCCTATTCACACTTTTTATTTTTCGTCCTCCAGACGTTGTGTTATCATCACTTAAGATCCAACAATCACCTGAGAACCTGCTGATAAAGCCTGGACAACAGGAAGCCCGTCTGGAGTGTTTTCACGGCGATAACAGCTTCCCCTACATGCTCTGGTACCGGCACAGGTACCGGCACAGGTCAGCAGCCGGAGGTCGGCCGAGAGACATGGATCTGATCGGACTGCTTCATTATGAAAACGCAGACGTAGAGAAGACCTTTGCAACGGAACGTTTCAACATCACAGGTCACTCAAAGGGCCGAGCTCAGCTCACAATCTCCAACATGAAGCCGGCAGACAGTGCAGAGTATTTCTGCGCAGCGAGGAGCACAGTGTGTCACCTCCTCCGCCTGCTTTACAAAAAGCTGCAGTGACAAACACCTGCATCAGACATAAGCTGATCCTAAAGACATGAGGGAATATCTCAGCTGCTGGAGGGTTATATCCCTGCTCTGAGAGGACAGACAAAGTCATGTGTAGCTAAATACATTCTAGGAACACATTATAATCTCTATCATGAACCAAACCCAATGAATTATTCTAGGTTGACAACATACTGAATCACATTAACATGGTCCAGGTAAGGGAGATAGAGGGTAGAATTGCAGCTATAATACAGAAAACATATCAAAAATATTCTTTCAAAAATAATCAGTGTGTCAAACCAACTCCAACTTCATTCAACGACTTCAAGTCAATGTAAACAGCATTTTAGAAATAAGCCTTTATAATCAGAAATGAACAATATTTGAAAACATTTAATAAATATGATGATTTTTTTGTGTGTAGGTGTGTACAGATGCATACAGTACATGTTCATAATTAGGGTATATGTTTATATGTATGTGCACCATAATGCTAGCCTAACCTACAAATGTTTATTTTCTGCAAGCAGTACTGAATACAAATCTAAATAAGTAATACGTGAGATGAACTGAAAACAAACGAGACAGACTGTTACACGTTGTTGCGCACCTAAAGACTGCAAACATAACTCAGCTTCATCAACATCTTTCTGTACGTCTCACTTCCAGCTAACACGGCAGAGACTCTGACGTCATTTCCTCCACAAAGAACTAAAGAGGTGGCCGTTTGTATTTTCCTTCAGTTCACTTCCCTCTGCTGAATCACAATGATCCCAGGCTTCTCCTGCTTCACGCTCTTTGTGCTTTGGGCTGCAGGTAAAGTGTTTAAACGATTACAACATACATTGTGAATATGTTTCTAGGGTGAAATACACACCCTTTTAATGACTAAATAATAATAGAGTGATTTAGTAATAGTTTGTCTGTTTTCTATTCCAGATGTGTGTCAGTCGGTGCTCATCACTCAGTGGCCTCACTACATCTCCAGGCTTCCCAACGGTTCGGCAGAAATGCACTGCTACCAGAACGAAACCAACTATGATTATGTGTACTGGTACCGGCAGCAGAGAGGACAGGGTTTTCAGTTAATGGCGTATGTAGTAGCTGGCTTTGAAAACTATGAAGAAGGGTTTAAATCTGGTTACCAGGCAGTGAAAGTGAAGGAGAAGCAGCTGTGGTCCCTGAGCATCAGCAGCGTTCAGGAGGAAGACGAGGCTGTTTATCTGTGCGCTGCCAGTCTGCACAGTGCTGCCACAGACCTCAGGCCTGCACAAAAACTCACTGCCACACGAGAGGCTGCCCGACGAACAGCCATCATGTTCACATACAGGCACTCACACACTGTGGAGGAGAACATATCAGGGACTAGACGCATGTGTTAAATGGAAGTGAGGAATGTGTGAAGGAAAGGGAAAAAACTGTTTAAAATAAAAGGATTATTGATTGTTTTGTGTTTTCCCGACTAACTGAGGTTGTGCAAATTACTGTCCAGAATCTTCAGAATCAGAAATCAGTTTATTATATTATTATTACGTACAAGTTTTCTTTAGCGTATGAGGAATATAATTATATATATATATAAATATGAACAAAAAATATCTTCTATAGATTTGAAAACAAATGAAGAAAAATACAATTATATAACGAAAAACAGAACCAATGTTTCTGAATTAAAATGAAAAGATGTCAAAAAGAACATTTGAAGTTATAAAATAGGTGCAATGTGTCTGAATTAAAATGGGTGTATAGAAAGAATGATAATACAAAATTGAAAAAACAACCATAAATATGAAAAGCTGTGTAAAAGAAAGTTACAATATCATTTGATTTGCACAAAATTATTGCTAATAATATTGAATATATACATATGTCATTAAAAACATTTCAAATGTGTCTGAATAAAAATGTGTATAGAGGAACTGGGTTACAAATATTAAAAATACTATTAAAAAAACCTATATAACTTCTGTAAATATTTACAGAGATGCAGTCCCAATTGAATTATGCACGTGTGAATGTAAAGCATAAAGAAAGATGTTTAAATTGAACCAACAGGTGGAGGCACAGCACGTGGCATGAGGCTTGATGATGATGATGATGATGATGATGATGATGATGATGATGATGATGATGATGATGATGATGATGATGATGATGATGATGATGATGATGATGATGATGATGATGATGATGATGATGATGATGATGATGATGATGATGATGATGATGATGATGATGATGATGATGATGATGATGAACGAGCACAAAGCCTCCCCTCTTCCTCCTCACATCAGTGCCTCACCATGTCTCCACATGTGCACACATTCTGGTTACTCTTCATCTGGTTTCCATGTAAGACTTTGTATCTCAACCTGAATATGAAACTAGTGTTTGAAAGCTATAAATAATGTATTATCTTCTGGTCGGTTGCTTCAATATGAGTGTAAACTAAAATCTGTTTTCTCCACAGGTCAGGCGAGCGCTGCTACATTTAAACAATCTCCTGCTCAGGTAGTGAAGGAGAGCACTGAGGTCCAGATTATATGCAGCCATGACGATTCTTCCCTTGTAGTAATGCTCTGGTATCAGCAGAGAAAAGACAGTCTCTCTATGACCCTCATTGGGTATGGATATGCAACCGGCCAAACCTACGAGGGTCAGTTTGAAAAAGAGTTTGAGCTGACGAGAGAAGGCACGCTGAGAGGAACTCTGATTATACGCTCAGCAAACCTGTCAGACTCGGCTGTGTATTTCTGCGCTGCCAGTACACAGTGATGTGGTGAATGCCACTCCCTTACCAAAACCCTCCTCTCTTTCCTGAACACGAGATCTGTGTATTTTCACAGGAGGCGGTGTCTCTACACACCATCAGAGGCAGCAGTGTTTCTCCTGCTACAGCACAAACCTGAAGGATGTCTCCAGCTGTGATAGCATTTCTCCTCTTCTTGCTTTCATGTAAAAAAAAAAATATGCTGCAGAAAAAGCTATTTCTAAGAATGCGTTTTCACAGTTTGTTCTGTATCAACTACTTTTTGATTCTGTGTTTTCCCCACAGATGGAGCTGAGAGTGTGGAGTTTGAGCCAACTCATCCAAAAATTGTCAACGACAAAGCCAGGGTAGAAATTAAATGCAGTCACAATGATACCAATCTGGTTAGAATGCTCTGGTACCAACAAACAGAGAGAGGTCTGATGAATTTCATTGGATACAGCTATACTGGCAGTGAGCCCATCTATGAGAAGGAGTTTGAAAATGGATTTGAGATAACAAGAGAAGACATCCTGAGAGGAGCTCTGATTATTCCCAGTGTGACTCCATCAGACTCGGCTGTGTATTTCTGCGCTGCCAGTACACAGTGATGTGGTTTAGAGCCACTCCCTCACTAAAACTCTCTCACATGGTCTCTGCATACAGACTCTCAGTGAAGACAGTTCCTCCTGCAGCACAGAGAGCCTGGACCATGTCTCCAGCTGTCATAGCATTGCTTCTCCTCTCACTATCATGTAATGCAACTATTTTGATGACCAATTTATCATTAAAGGAACTTTTCATGCAGGAATATCCCACAGTGCTGTTCATTATATATAGTGAACATCTATGTGCTTTGGATGAGGAAACAAGACATTTAATGACATATTCTTGGACTTCGAGAACTTGGATGGACATTTTTCTATATTATAGACCAAAAGATTCATTAAGAGAGTAATCAGCAGATTGATTGGAAATGCAATTTACTGCCTAAATAACTATTTAAAATTTGAAGATTTCTTGACAGTACAATTTTTAAGAATGTTTTACACCGTCGCTTCTGTATTAACTACATTTTTATTCTGTGTTTTCCCCACAGATGGAGCTGAGAGTGTGGAGTTTGAGCCAACTCATCCAAAAATATACAACGAGAAAGCCAGGGTAGAAATTAAATGTAGTCACAATGATAGCAACCTGGATATAATGCTCTGGTACCAACAAACAGAGAGAGGTCTGAAATTAATTGGATACAGCTATGGCAGTGAGCCCAACTATGAGAAGGAGTTTGAAAATGGATTTAAAATAACAAGAGAAGACAAGATGAGAGGAGCTCTGATTATTCCCAGTGTGAATATATCAGACTCGGCTGTGTATTTCTGCGCTGCCAAGGTACACAGTGATGTGGTTTAGAGCCACTCCCTCACTAAAACTCTCTCACATGGTCTCTTCATACAGACTCTCAGTGAAGACAGTTCCTCCTGCAGCACAGAGAACCTGGACCATGTCTCCAGCTGTCATCACATTGCTTCTCCTCTCACTATCATGTAATGTAACTATTATTTGAGTAACTTTCGATGCAACAATATAACACATGGCTATTCATTAAGTACAGTGAACACCTATGTGTTTTGGACTGAGGGAACAAGACCTTTAAAGACATCATCTTGGACTTTGAGAAACTTGGATTGGACATGTTTCACTATTTACTGACATTTAATAAACCAAAAGATTATTCGAGAAATGTATCTGCGGTTTAAACGAAAATGAAATGTATGATAAGTTGCAGCCCTAATGTTATGTAATTAACTGCAAAAATAGCAATTTCAAAGTGTATTTTTACAGCGATTATAGTGATGTTTTTTTAAAAGCAGCTTCTCTATTTGCTATTGTTTTCCCCACAGATGGAGCTGAGAGTGTGGAGTTTGAGCCGACTCATCCCAGAATAGTCAACGACAAAGCCAGGGAAGAAATTAAATGCAGTCACAATGATAACGGCATGAATGTAATGCTGTGGTACCAACAAACAGAGAGAGGTCTGATGAAATTAATTGGATACAGCTACTCTGGTAGTGATCCCAGCTATGAGAAGGAGTTTGAAAAGCGGTTTGAGATAACAAGAGAAGACACAATGAGAGGAGCTCTGATTATTAAAAGTCTAAATCTATCAGACTCGGCTGTGTATTTCTGCGCTGCCAGTACACAGTGATGTGGTTTAATGCCTCTCCCTCACTAAAACCCTGCTCTCATTTTTCTCTGGTGTGTTCATGTTCAAGATCCTGAGACTGCCTAACAGATCTCAGCATGCACAGAGAGATCATAATGTTAAGGACATTGGGCTGAACAGATATAGGCAAATTCTACAATGTTGTAGACATAGCTGAACATAAAATAAAATTAAAAAACAAATAAGAAGGTAACGTATGTAAAATGATGTGCATTGCACTACAATATATAGCAATAAATATGAAACTTAAAGTAGCGACAGTAAAAGTAGTCATTGTGCAGATTGGTCCATTTCAGAATAATATATAATATGTTTTATAATTATTGATGTATTAAAGTGTTATCAAAGCTGGTAAAGGCAGCTAGTTTTAATGACTTTGTATACTGCAGGGTACAGTAGCTTGTGAATTTACTCCAGGTGGAACTAAAGTCTGATTTAAGAGTTGATTAAAGGTTTTAAATAAGTACCTGGAAATTGTACTTAAGTCCAGTACTTGAGTAAATCTACTTAGTTACTTTACACCACTACATGTACAGATGATTATTTAGCTTTCACCAAACCATCAGCATCCAACCCAAATGAAACATAATGTTCATCAGTGTCAACAATCTCACAGCCATCACAACTCAGCAGCCAACATCAGAACATGAACCACAACTCAGCGGCAGAGCAGGAAGTTAGCTAACTAGACCGTTAGCTTAGCCATACGCTAGCCTAGCCTAGGTACATACACAATGTAAACAAAGCTTACAAATCAACTAAGGTTACATATTTAGCACAACAAACTAAAGTCTTACCTTGGTCGATGTAAGCAGTATCTTCCAGCATTTTAGAGAGGAGTTAAGTCCTTAGGAAGAGTCACAAAAGGACAGGAAACCCAAGTGCAGTCTTCAAGTGTCCAACCGTTGATGTGAGGTGGACCAACGGCCAATCCGTAGCCTAGCAACAGCAGCTCCGAGCAGAGTAAACTGTAGTTCATGGCGTCCCTAAAACAGGAAATAATGAACTGTTGGCAGTGAACTGGTTTCATGAAATGCGACATAAACTGTAGTAACTGTTTAAACGGGTTTTTGTTGACGTAAAAAAAAACAATGAAAACCTAATTTGACCTAGTGAGGAGTTTAACGGTCAACACCTTCAGCTGGGAAACTTAACAAAGTGGGCAGGGAGACGTCAGTTTAAAACGACTCGATTGACCAATCACGTTCCAGCAAGGGTCAGCAGGTGTCAGTCATGGATTAATTGAGCGAGAATTCACTGCAATTCATTTGTCAATTGAATTCACAGTAAAATGATTTTGAGAGTTTTGTAATTTAACCAATGTTTTTTATTTCTATGATGTTAAATGGTAAAAAGAAAATTAGATTTCTTGTTTTTTCAGTTTTTTAATTTATAAAAGTTAATGCATTTGTTTATTGACTGACAAAATTGAATAATTATTGTTTGGCCTTTTTTTTTCATATGACCTTCTGGTGTGTGTGTGTGTGTGTGTGTGTGTGTGTGTGTGTGTGTGTGTGTGTGTGTGTGTGTGTGTGTGTGTGTGTGTGTGTGTGTGTGTGTGTGTGTGTGTGTGTGTGTGTGTGTGTGCTGAGCAGTGATGTGAGCCTCATTCAGCTGGAGGAAGGCTCATCGATGACACTGAAATGTTTCTCACAGTCTTTCACTTGTCGCTTCTTTTACACTCAGGTGGGTTTACCTAAAAATAATCGTTTTTTTCGATTATGTTTTCGTAATTGTGGCAGGCCAAAATCGTAATTGCGATTAAAATACGATTAATTGCACAGCCCTAATCTGAAGCTATCTGTGTGTTCAGTTGCTGTATGTTAATATCCCTCTAAGTGTAAAGATGCTGCATCGAAGCATTTTTACAGTCAAATACAAATAAAATTATTCAAGTAACATTTTCCTTTTATTTTAAAGCACTAGAAATCATTTTTTAAATCCTGAGAATCTTAAGAGTGATATCAGGGTTTGTACAACTAGTAAATTCAAGCACTTTTTTAAAAAACTATATCAAAGCCTTTACCATTCAACCTAATGTCAGATAAATGACATCAAACAAAACACGTTTTACAGAATTCCATCATACCCAGAGCAATACATGTACACGGTCTCTTTTATATTTGACCAGCTGTTGTTTTTAACTTTGACTGGGGGTTGTTATGTTTCAAATATTAAAAATCATTGGTTTGCACAAGTGGTTGTGTAGATGTAATGTTGAAAGACATCTCCTGTAGTCCTGTGCTGCACAAACCCTGGGATATGTACATGTTTTACTCATCAGTCATCGATGAATGTTTCGATCAGTTGCTCAGCTCTCTTCATGGGTCATAAATAGTTACAAGAATATATATATTTCGAGTTCTAGTAATGAGCTCAGAATGAAAGCAGTGAACAGCAGGGAGCAGTGAAATCACACCGACATGAAGAGGGCTGGAAGCTCCTCCTCCTTCCTCATCATAATGTACAATAAAAGGAAGATTTCACAACAGTGTGTTTTCATTCATGTCTTTGCACGTCTCTGAGTTCAGATTTGAGTGTACATTTTAAAATGTTCCTCATTTTGGTTTTTTCTATGTCTTTGCTCACAGGTAAGAGTCACAGGATTGTATTTGTTGTTAAACAAAACAAAAATCAGATTCAGGGCAAGTTAGATTTTAAGACATTAAGATAAAGACTGTTTGAATTTTATTTAAGAACAATTCTTAAATGCAATTTTACCGTTATCCTGATCTGCATTACAATGCTAAATCAGATAAACTAATTATCATCCTAATCCCATGTTTTAGCATAATAAGACTTTTAAATCATTGATTAAACACTTTATAATAACAATTAAGGCCTTATTTCAGATTAATAAAAGAAAGGCCTATTCACACTTTTTATTTTTCGTCCTCCAGACGTTGTGTTATCATCACTTAAGATCCAACAATCACCTGAGAACCTGCTGATAAAGCCTGGACAACAGGAAGCCCGTCTGGAGTGTTTTCACGGCGATAACAGCTTCCCCTACATGCTCTGGTACCGGCACAGGTCAGCAGCCGGAGGTCGGCCGAGAGACATGGATCTGATCGGACTGCTTCATTATGAAAACGCAGACGTAGAGAAGACCTTTGCAACGGAACGTTTCAACATCACAGGTCACTCAAAGGGCCGAGCTCAGCTCACAATCTCCAACATGAAGCCGGCAGACAGTGCAGAGTATTTCTGCGCAGCGAGGAGCACAGTGTGTCACCTCCTCCGCCTGCTTTACAAAAAGCTGCAGTGAAAACACCTGCATCAGACATAAGCTGATCCTAAAGACATGAGGGAATATCTCAGCTGCTGGAGGGTTATATCCCTGCTCTGAGAGGACAGACAAAGTCATGTGTAGCTAAAAACATTCTAGGAACACATTATAATCTCTATCATGAACCAAACCCAATGAATTATTCTAGGTTGACAACATACTGAATCACATTAACATGGTCCAGGTAAGGGAGATAGAGGGTAGAATTGCAGCTATAATACAGAAAACATATCAAAAATATTCTTTCAAAAATAATCAGTGTGTCAAACCAACTCCAACTTCATTCAACGACTTCAAGTCAATGTAAACAGCATTTTAGAAATAAGCCTTTATAATCAGAAATGAACAATATTTGAAAAAATGTAATAAATATGATGATTTTTTTGTGTGTAGGTGTGTACAGATGCATACAGTACATGTTCATAATTAGGGTATATGTTTATATGTATGTGCACCATAACGCTAGCCTAACCTACAAATGTTTATTTTCTGCAAGCAGTACTGAATACAAATCTAAATAAGTAATACGTGAGATGAACTGAAAACAAACGAGACAGACTGTTACACGTTGTTGCGCACCTAAAGACTGCAAACATAACTCAGCTTCATCAACATCTTTCTGTACGTCTCACTTCCAGCTAACACGGCAGAGACTCTGACGTCATTTCCTCCACAAAGAACTAAAGAGGTGGCCGTTTGTATTTTCCTTCAGTTCACTTCCCCCTCCTGAATCACAATGATCCCAGGCTTCTCCTGCTTCACGCTCTTTGTGCTTTTGGCTGCAGGTAAAGTGTTTAAACGATTACAACATACATTGTGAATATGTTTCTAGGGTGAAATACACGCCCTTTTAATGACTAAATAATAATAGAGTGATTTAGTAATAGTTTGTCTGTTTTCTGATCCAGATGTGTGTCAGTCGGTGCTCATCACTCAGTGGCCTCACTACATCTCCAGGCTTCCCAACGGTTCAGCAGAAATGCACTGCTACCAGAACGAAACCAACTATGATTATGTGTACTGGTACCGGCAGCAGAGAGGACAGGGTTTCCAGTTAATGGCGTATGTAGTAGCTGGCTTTGAAAACTATGAAGAAGGGTTTAAATCTGGTTACCAGGCAGTGAAAGTGAAGGAGAAGCAGCTGTGGTCCCTGAGCATCAGCAGCGTTCAGGAGGAAGACGAGGCTGTTTATCTGTGCGCTGCCAGTCTGCACAGTGCTGCCACAGACCTCAGGCCTGCACAAAAACTCACTGCCACACGAGAGGCTGCCCGACGAACAGCCATCATGTTCACATACAGGAACTCACACACACTGTGGAGGAGAACATATCAGGGACTAGACGCATGTGTTAAATGGAAGTGAGGAATGTGTGAAGGAAAGGGAAAAAACTGTTTAAAATAAAAGGATTATTGATTGTTTTGTGTTTTCCCGACTAACTGAGGTTGTGCAAATTACTGTCCAGAATCTTCAGAATCAGAAATCAGTTTATTATATTATTACGTACAAGTTTTCTTTAGCGTATGAGGAATATAATTATATATATATATAAATATGAACAAAAAATATCTTCTATAGATCTGAAAACAAATGAAGAAAAATACAATTATATAACGAAAAACAGAACCAATGTTTCTGAATTAAAATTAAAAGATGTCAAAAAGATAAAATGACACGATAAATATGAAAACAATTCGGTATTAAAAGGAAAGCTTAGAAGAAAAGTTACAATATAATTTAATTTGCACAAAATTATTGCTAATAATATTTAACATATAAAAATGTCATTAACAACATGTAAAATGTGTCTGAATAAAAATGTGTATAGAGGAACTGGGTTACAAATATTAAAAATACTATTAAAAAAACCTATATAACTTCTGTAAATATTTACAGAGATGCAGTCCCAATTGAATTATGCACGTGTGAATGTAAAGCATAAAGAAAGATGTTTAAATTGAACCAACAGGTGGAGGCACAGCACGTGGCATGAGGCTTTATGATGAAGATGATGATGATGATGAACGAGCACAAAGCCTCCCCTCTTCCTCCTCACATCAGTGCCTCACCATGTCTCCACATGTGCACACATTCTGGTTACTCTTCATCTGGTTTCCATGTAAGACTTTGTATCTCAACCTGAATATGAAACTAGTGTTTGAAAGCTATAAATAACGTATTATCTTCTGGTCGGTTGCTTCAATATGAGTGTAAACTAAAATCTGTTTACTCCACAGGTCAGGCGAGCGCTGCTACATTTAAACAATCTCCTGCTCAGGTAGTGAAGGAGAGCACTGAGGTCCAGATTAAATGCAGCCATGATGATTCTTCCCTTGCCATAATGCTCTGGTATCAGCAGAGAAAAGACAGTCTCTCTATGACCCTCATTGGGTATGGATATGCAACCGGCCAAACCTACGAGGGTCAGTTTGAAAAAGAGTTTGAGCTGACGAGAGAAGGCACGCTGAGCGGAGCTCTGATTATACGCTCAGCAAACCTGTCAGACTCGGCTGTGTATTTCTGCGCTGCCAGTACACAGTGATGTGGTGAATGCCACTCCCTTACCAAAACCCTCCTCTCTTTCCTGAACACGAGATCTGTGTATTTTCACAGGAGGCGGTGTCTCTACACACCATCAGAGGCAGCAGTGTTTCTCCTGCTACAGCACAACCCTGAAGGATGTCTCCAGCTGTGATAGCATTTATCCTCTTCTTGCTTTCATGTAAAAAAAAAAATATGCTGCAGAAAAAGCTATTTCTAAGAATGCGTTTTCACAGTTTGTTCTGTATCAACTACTTTTTGATTCTGTGTTTTCCCCACAGATGGAGCTGAGAGTGTGGAGTTTGAGCCAACTCATCCAAAGATTGTCAACGACAAAGCCAGGGTAGAAATTAAATGCAGTCACAATGATACCAATCTGGTTAGAATGCTCTGGTACCAACAAACAGAGAGAGGTCTGATGAATTTCATTGGATACAGCTATACTGGCAGTGAGCCCATCTATGAGAAGGAGTTTGAAAATGGATTTGAGATAACAAGAGAAGGCATCCTGAGAGGAGCTCTGATTATTCCCAGTGTGACTCCATCAGACTCGGCTGTGTATTTCTGCGCTGCCAGTACACAGTGATGTGGTTTAGAGCCACTCCCTCACTAAAACTCTCTCACATGGTCTCTGCATACAGACTCTCAGTGAAGACAGTTCCTCCTGCAGCACAGAGAACCTGCACCATGTCTCCAGCTGTCATTGCATTGCTTCTCCTCTCACTATCATGTAATGCAACTATTATGATGATCAATTTATCATTAAAAGGAACTTTTCATGCAGGAATATCCCACAGTGCTGTTCATTATATATAGTGAACATCTATGTGCTTTGGATGAGGAAACAAGACATTTAATGACATATTCTTGGACTTCGAGAACTTGGATGGACATTTTTCTATATTATAGACCAAAATATTAATTAAGAGAGTAATCAGCAGATTGATTGGAAATGCAATTTACTGCCTAAGTAACTATTTAAATTTGAAGATTTCTTGACAGTACAATTTTTAAGAATGTTTTACACCGTCGCTTCTGTATTAACTACATTTTTATTCTGTGTTTTCCCCACAGATGGAGCTGAGAGTGTGGAGTTTGAGCCAACTCATCCAAAAATAGTCAACGACAAAGCCAGGGTAGAAATTAAATGTAGTCACAATGATGGCAACCTGGATGTAATGCTCTGGTACCAACAAACTGAGAGAGGTCTGATGAATTTAATTGGATATGGCTACTCTGGTATAGAGCCGAACTATGAGAAGGAGTTTGAAAATGGATTTGAGATAACAAGAGAAGACATCCTGAGAGGAGCTCTGATTATTCCCAGTGTGACTCCATCAGACTCGGCTGTGTATTTCTGCGCTGCCAGTACACAGTGATGTGGTTTAGAGCCACTCCCTCACTAAAACTCTCTCACATGGTCTCTGCATACAGACTCTCAGTGAAGACAGTTCCTCCTGCAGCACAGAGAACCTGGACCATGTCTCCAGCTGTGATCGCATTGCTTCTCCTCTCACTATCATGTAATGCAACTATTATGATGATCAATTTATCATTAAAGGAACTTTTCATGCAGGAATATCCCACAGTGCTGTTCATTATATATAGTGAACATCTATGTGCTTTGGATGAGGAAACAAGACATTTAATGACATATTCTTGGACTTCGAGAAACTTGGATGGACATTTTTCTATATTATAGACCAAAATATTAATTAAGAGAGTAATCAGGAGATTGATTGGAAATGCAATTTACTGCCTAAGTAACTATTTAAATTTGAAGATTTCTTGACAGTACAATTTTTAAGAATGTTTTACACCGTCGCTTCTGTATTAACTACTTTTTTATTCTGTGTTTTCTCGGCAGATGGAGCTGAGAGTGTGGAGTTTGAGCCAACTCATCCAAAAATATACAACGAGAAAGCCAGGGTAGAAATTAAATGCAGTCACAATGATGGCAACCTGGATATAATGCTCTGGTATCAAAAAACTGAGAGAGGTCTGATGAATTTAATTGGATACAGCTATACTGGCAGTGAGCCCAACTATGAGAAGGAGTTTGAAAATGGATTTGAGATAACAAGAGAAGACATCCTGAGAGGAGCTCTGATTATTCCCAGTGTGACTCCATCAGACTCGGCTGTGTATTTCTGCGCTGCCAGAGTACACAGTGATGTGGTTTGGAGCCACTCCCTCACTAAAACTCTCTCACATGGTCTCTGCATACAGACTCTCAGTGAAGACAGTTCCTCCTGCAGCACAGAGAACCTGGACCATGTCTCCAGCTGTCATCACATTGCTTCTCATCTCACTATCATGTAATGTAACTATTATTTGAGTAACTTTCGATGCAACAATATCACACATGGCTGTTCATTAAGTACAGTGAACACCTATGTGTTTTGGACTGAGGAAACAAGACCTTTAAAGACATAATCTTGGACTTTGAGAAACTTGGATTGGACATGTTTCACTATTTACTGACATTTAATAAACCAAAAGATTATTCGAGAACTGTATCTGCGGTTTAAACGAAAATGAAATGTATGATAAGTTGCAGCCCTAATGTTATGTAATTAACTGCAAAAATAGCTATTTCAAAGTGTATTTTTACAGCGATTATAGTGATGTTTTTTTAAAAGCAGCTTCTCTATTTGCTATTGTTTTCCCCACAGATGGAGCTGAGAGTGTGGAGTTTGACCCGACTCATCCCAGAATAGTCAACGACAAAGCCAGGGAAGAAATTAAATGCAGTCACAATGATAACGGCATGAATGTAATGCTGTGGTACCAACAAACAGAGAGAGGTCTGATGAAATTCATTGGATACAGCTACGGTAGTGATCCCAGCTATGAGAAGGAGTTTGAAAAGCGGTTTGAGATAACAAGAGAAGACACAATGAGAGGAGCTCTGATTATTAAAAGTCTAAATCTATCAGACTCGGCTGTGTATTTCTGCGCTGCCAGTACACAGTGATGTGGTTTAATGCCTCTCCCTCACTAAAACCCTGCTCTCATTTTTCTCTGGTGTGTTCATGTTCAAGATCCTGAGACTGCCTAACAGATCTCAGCATGCACAGAGAGATCATAATGTTAAGGACATTGGGCTGAACAGATATAGGCAAATTCTACAATGTTGTAGACATAGCTGAACATAAAATAAAATTAAAAAACAAATAAGAAGGTAACGTATGTAAAATGATGTGCATTGCACTACAATATATAGCAATAAATATGAAACTTAAAGTAGCGACAGTAAAAGTAGTCATTGTGCAGATTGGTCCATTTCAGAATAATATATAATATGTTTTATAATTATTGATGTATTAAAGTGTTATCAAAGCTGGTAAAGGCAGCTAGTTTTAATGACTTTGTATACTGCAGGGTACAGTAGCTTGTGAATTTACTCAGGTGGAACTAAAGTCTGATTTAAGAGTTGATTAAAGGTTTTAAATAAGTACCTGGAAATTGTACTTAAGTCCAGTACTTGAGTAAATCTACTTAGTTACTTTACACCACTACATGTACAGATGATTATTTAGCTTTCACCAAACCATCAGCATCCAACCCAAATGAAACATAATGTTCATCAGTGTCAACAATCTCACAGCCATCACAACTCAGCAGCCAACATCAGAACATGAACCACAACTCAGCGGCAGAGCAGGAAGTTAGCTAACTAGACCGTTAGCTTAGCCATACGCTAGCCTAGCCTAGGTACATACACAATGTAAACAAAGCTTACAAATCAACTAAGGTTACATATTTAGCACAACAAACTAAAGTCTTACCTTGGTCGATGTAAGCAGTATCTTCCAGCATTTTAGAGAGGAGTTAAGTCCTTAGGAAGAGTCACAAAAGGACAGGAAACCCAAGTTCAGTCTTCAAGTGTCCAACCGTTGATGTGAGGTGGACCAACGGCCAATCCGTAGCCTAGCAACAGCAGCTCCGAGCAGAGTAAACTGTAGTTCATGGCGTCCCTAAAACAGGAAATAATGAACTGTTGGCAGTGAACTGGTTTCATGAAATGCGACATAAACTGTAGTAACTGTTTAAACGGGTTTTTGTTGACGTAAAAAAACAATGAAAACCTAAGTTGACCTAGTGAGGAGTTTAACGGTCAACACCTTCAGCTGGGAAACTTAACAAAGTGGGCAGGGAGACGTCAGTTTAAAACGACTTGATTGACCAATCACGTTCCAGCAAGGGTCAGCAGGTGTCAGTCATGGATTAATTAAGCGAGAATTCACTGCAATTCATTTGTCAATTGAATTCACAGTAAAATGATTTTGAGAGTTTTTTCATAAGACCTTCTGGTGTGTGTGTGTGTGTGTGTGTGTGTGTGTGTGTGTGTGTGTGTGTGTGTGTGTGTGTGTGTGTGTGTGTGTGTGTGTGTGTGTGTGTGTGTGTGTGTGTGTGTGTGTGTGTGTGTGTGTGTGTGTGTGTGTGTGTGTGTGTGTGTGCTGAGCAGTGATGTGAGCCTCATTCAGCTGGAGGAAGGCTCATCGATGACACTGAAATGTTTCTCACAGGAGGCGTGTCTCTACACACCATCAGAGGCAGCAGTGTTTCTCCTGCTACAGCACAAACCTGAAGGATGTCTCCAGCTGTGATAGCATTTCTCCTCTTCTTGCTTTCATGTAAAAAAAATATATGCTGCAGAAAAAGCTATTTCTAAGAATGCGTTTTCACAGTTTGTTCTGTATCAACTACTTTTTGATTCTGTGTTTTCCCCACAGATGGAGCTGAGAGTGTGGAGTTTGAGCCAACTCATCCAAAAATTGTCAACGACAAAGCCAGGGTAGAAATTAAATGCAGTCATAATGATACCAATCTGGTTAGAATGCTCTGGTACCAACAAACAGAGAGAGGTCTGATGAATTTCATTGGATACAGCTATGGCAGTGAGCCCAACTATGAGAAGGAGTTTGAAAATGGATTTGAGATAACAAGAGAAGGCATCCTGAGAGGAGCTCTGATTATTCCCAGTGTGACTCCATCAGACTCGGCTGTGTATTTCTGCGCTGCCAGTACACAGTGATGTGGTTTAGAGCCACTCCCTCACTAAAACTCTCTCACATGGTCTCTGCATACAGACTCTCAGTGAAGACAGTTCCTCCTGCAGCACAGAGAACCTGGACCATGTCTCCAGCTGTGATTGCATTGCTTCTCCTCTCACTATCATGTAATGTAACTATGATGACCAATTTATCATTAAAGGAACTTTTCATGCAGGAATATCCCACAGTGCTGTTCATTATATATAGTGAACATCTATGTGCTTTGGATGAGGAAACAAGACATTTAATGACATATTCTTGGACTTCGAGAAACTTGGATGGACATTTTTCTATATTATAGACCAAAATATTAATTAAGAGAGTAATCAGCAGATTGATTGGAAATGCAATTTACTGCCTAAGTAACTATTTAAATTTGAAGATTTCTTGACAGTACAATTTTTAAGAATGTTTTACACGTCACTTCTGTATTAACTACATTTTTATTCTGTGTTTTCCCCACAGATGGAGCTGAGAGTGTGGAGTTTGAGCCAACTCATCCAAAAATAGTCAACGACAAAGCCAGGGTAGAAATTAAATGTAGTCACAATGATGGCAACCTGGATGTAATGCTCTGGTACCAACAAACTGAGAGAGGTCTGAAATTAATTGGATACAGCTATGGCAGTGAGCCCAACTATGAGAAGGAGTTTGAAAATGGATTTAAAATAACAAGACAAGACAAGATGAGAGGAGCTCTGATTATTCCCAGTGTGAATCGATCAGACTCGGCTGTGTATTTCTGCGCTGCCAGGGTACACAGTGATGTGGTTTAGAGCCACTCCCTCACTAAAACTCTCTCACATGGTCTCTTCATACAGACTCTCAGTGAAGACAGTTCCTCCTGCAGCACAGAGAACCTGGACCATGTCTCCAGCTGTCATCGCATTGCTTCTCATCTCACTATCATGTAATGTAACTATTATTTGAGTAACTTTCGATGCAACAATATAACACATGGCTGTTCATTAAGTACAGTGAACACCTATGTGTTTTGGACTGAGGGAACAAGACCTTTAAAGACATCATCTTGGACTTTGAGAAACTTGGATTGGACATGTTTCACTATTTACTGACATTTAATAGACCAAAAGATTATTCGAGAAATTAATCTGTGGTTTAAACGAAAATGAAATGTATAATTAGTTGCAGCCCTAATGTTATGTAATTAACTGCAAAAATAGCTATTTCAAAGTGTATTTTTACAGCGATTATAGTGATGTTTTTTTAAAAGCAGCTTCTCTATTTGCTATTGTTTTCCCCACAGATGGAGCTGAGAGTGTGGAGTTTGAGCCGACTCATCCCAGAATAGTCAACGACAAAGCCAGGGAAGAAATTAAATGCAGTCACAATGATAACGGCATGAATGTAATGCTGTGGTACCAACAAACAGAGAGAGGTCTGATGAAATTAATTGGATACAGCTACTCTGGTAGTGATCCCAGCTATGAGAAGGAGTTTGAAAAGCGGTTTGAGATAACAAGACCAGACAAGCTGAGAGGAGCTCTGATTATTCAAAGTCTAAATCTATCAGACTCGGCTGTGTATTTCTGCGCTGCCAGTACACAGTGATGTGGTTTAATGCCTCTCCCTCACTAAAACCCTGCTCTCATTTTTCTCTGGTGTGTTTATGTTCAAGATCCTGACACTGCCTATATCTGCATGCAGAGAGATCATAATATTAAGACATTGGGCTGAACAGATATAGACAAATTCTACAATGTTGTTTTTTACAAGACATAGCTGAACATAAAAAAGAAAAGAAAAAAACAAATAAGAAGGTAATGTATGTAAAATGATGTGCATTGCACTACAATATATCGCAATAAATATGAAACTTAAAGTAGCAAAAGTGAAAGTAGTCATTGTGCAGATTGGTCCATTTCAGAATAATATATATGATATGTTTTATAATGATTGATCATTAAAGTGTTCTCAAAGCTGGTAAAGGTGCAGCTAGTTTGAATGACTTTGTATACTGCAGGGTAGCTTGTGAATTTACTCCAGGTGGAACTAAAGTCTGATTAAAGTTGATTAAAGGTATTAAATAAGTACCTGAACTTAAGTCCAGTACTTGAGTAAATCTACTTTACACCACTGCATGCATGTACAGTAGGGCTGCTCGATTATGGCAAAAATCATAATCTCGATTATTTGGGTCAATAATTGATATCACGATTATTAAAAACGATTATCCATTTACTTTGAAAACATCCATTTATTGAAAAAAAAAATGTGAACAGTATGTTTTTAACAGTTGATTACCCTGAACTTTAAGTATAATTCAACTGAAAAAACAATAATAAAAAATAAAATAAATTTAAACATACATTTAAAAAAAATCGTTTTATTTCGATTATGTTGTTTTCATAATCGTTGCAAGCCAAAATCGTAATTGCGATTAAAAACGATTAATTGAGCAGCCCTAATGTACAGATGATTATTTAGCTTTCACCAAACCATCCAACCCAAATGAAAGATAATGTTCATCAGTGTCAACAATCTCACAGCCATCACAACTCAGCAGCCAACATCAGAACATGAAACACAACTCAGCGGCAGAGCAGGAAGTTAGCTAACTAGACCGTTAGCTTAGCCATACGCTAGCCTAGCCTAGCCTAGCATACATACACAATGTAAACAAAGCTTACAAATCAACTAAGGTTACATATTTAGCATAGCAAACAAAAGTCTTACCTTGGTCGATGTAAGCAGTATCTTCCAGCATTGTAGAGAGGAGTTAAGTCCTTAGGAAGAGTCACAAAAGGACAGGAAACCTAAGTTCAGTCTTCAAGTGTCCAACCGTTGATGTGAGGAGGACCAACCGCCAATCCGTAGCCTAGCAACAGGAGCAGCTCCGAGCAGAGTAAACTGTAGTTCATGGCGTCCCTAAAACAGGAAATAATGAACTGTTGGCAGTGAACTGGTTTCATGAAATGCGACATAAAACGACTTGATTGACCAATCACGTTCCAGCAAGGGTCAGCAGGTGTCAATCATGGATTAATTAAGAGACTGCAATTCATTTGACAATTCACAGAAAAAATGATTTTGAAAATGTTGTAATTTAACCATTGGTTTTTATTTCTATGATGTTAAATGGTAAAAAAAAAATCAAATGTATTGATTGAATAACACCGCAAAGTTCTGACAACATCCACCTTAAAAATAAAAAGGACAGAAGAACTCCTTATCAGTGAATG